CCTCCCAACCTGCCCGCTCGCCTCTCATTGAAAATTATTTACGAGGCACGTCAGTCGCTCCCCGTTTGAAAAGACCTTTAGAATATATGGCCCCAACACGGCAGTTGTCTCACTGTGCTGTATATTGATCAATCCATGGCGCTGGCTGTTGACCGATTTGTAATATGTGCGCCTGTGGATGTCAAAGTGTGACTTTGATGCTGTTGTCATGTTATGTTTAATTAATGGGCCATTCTTAATAACATATTTAGAACTGTGTTCTGAAACTGTACATTAAATATGATTGTATCCAAAATTAAGATCTCAGCCTCACAGACCTTTATTCTCTAACATTCTCTTTCCTTTTGTTGCAGAAACCTATTAGATATGGACACCTTCTCGAAGTCAGATCCAGGTACTGCTGCCATTTTCTCATTCTTTCACTCTTTTAATCAAATTCAACTTTCCTGTTTGTAATTTCAGCTCTGAAGCCTGTTTCACATCCCCATTGCCATTTGCACCGCCCCCGCGCTCAGACTGAATGTGTTCAATTTCATGTGCGATTTTTCGCTGATTTGTGCGCCTTATCATTGCGCAGCAAGCCTCAGTGAGCAGTAACACAGTGAGTGTCTCCCAGAGCATTTACAGACACAATACAGCAGCCCGGTGAATGAAAAGCTCTGTCCCAGGGGTCAACTGGCTGCAATCAAATTTGTTTCCAATTAGGGCAAATAATTACTGGAGATTTATTGACACCTAATGAATGCTAGTCACCGACACCCCCACCCACCCCCCCCACCCCCCAAACCCCCCCCCCCACACACACACACACACCACACCGTAAAGAGATACAGTATCGTTGGCAAGTTTAGGAGGAGTGGTGGACAACAGATTGTTTGTAAGAAGAGAAAGAAAATGACAGAGAACAAGTGATTCAGAGAAAGAAAGTGACAAGGATGACAGAAAAACAGACACATGGCTGTCAAGGAAGACATCTACTTGATTGGCAAGATTGAGACATTTACATCTTCCTGAGCTGCAGTTCTCTGGTTACACAGCATGTTTGTCACTACATCATCCTCGTCATGGCCCTCACCATCATCCTCATCAGCTACAAGTGGCTTTCTCAGTATTGTTTGTGTGCTTATGTTGGCTAAATCTTGGGACAGTACCAATGTTTTTGCATATTGAAAGCCTGAAGTGTGTAAAATGGAAGTTAATGTAATTGTATAATTTACTTTACATTACTGCTGACATCTATCAAAACCTGGTTTGTCCTGGCGATTCTTTAAGTCGGGGTAATGTTTGTTAAAATAATGACATAGTATCACAATACAAGAAAAGTTTCTCCTTTTTTTCCTCATCACATTGGCAGAAATGGGCTTCTATAAATATTAACTGATACTCTCAACATAAACTGTGCTGGGACTAGTGTTGGGCTTATTACTCACAACATTTTATTACTCATATTATTACTTTACTCATTACTCCCTGCTGTAGTAATTAGTTACACTACTAGGTATAGTACTTTTCTGCTTCTCCCCACAAAACTGGTAATTGTTTCCCTTCTTTTGCAAATATTGAATAGCTTAACAAATGTTTTTTAGTTGCAGTCCTGCAGTGGCACGATGAGTGCGAACATAGCACGACCCAGAAATATTAGATCCCATTGCAGTTAGCCATAGTATCTAATACAGGGGGCACTCTGTGGTTACTTTTGGTCAGACTTTGACTAGGGTGGCACAAATAGTGCACTGACTTATGCAGGGGTGGTATGAAGTATGTGTCTCAGCTTTCCAGTGATTCCCATTTTATGCAATTCAAATACTGTTTATGGACCCCAGTATGAAGTAATTTTTAAATACAGTAGGCAAAAATAATACATTTATACCACATGAAACAATTGCATGGTTTTAGCCCCAAAATTAAATTGGATTAGCATAAAAGGGGCCATGTCTGCAAAGGGGAGGCTCATGCGTACCCATAGAACCCATTTTAATTCAGATATCTTGAGATCAGAGGGCATCGCCAAAATTTAGCCTTACTTTGGTACGTTCTTTAGTCCCCTTCCCTTTTCCGCTAGCATGACATAATTGGTATCAATGGATGTGTTAGGTCATCTAGTTTCATATGATACCAGCATCTTAACTCTAGCTTTAAAACATTACAGCAAGACAGTGCGGAGTGGTAGAGGGAAGGATAATGGGCTGGTACCTGGGGTAGCCAATCAGATTTCAGGGATGGCCATTGCCATGCCAGTCCCCCTCTCTCTGGAGACAGTGGTTTGACATGATTTATAGGATCAAAAACTGATTTTGTTTTGTCATGCTTGCCCAGATATGTTATTTTGCTGAGGTCTAAGGTACCAGAATCTGTGGACAGTGGAGTTAGCATGACTCAAAGACAGAATGACCACAGTTATGACAACAAGACACAGGCTGAAAAATAGCAGAATTTTCCTTTAATACATCAATAATTCATACATACTTAGATGGGCTGAACGTACAAAAAACACTGGTTTGTTAATGCTACATAGACACGCAACTACAAACAGTTCTTTAAGGGACTGTTCAAAGTATGTGTGTGTGTGTGTGTGGGTGTGCAATGTACAGTACTATGCCTTTTGGTGCTTATAGTGCCCTCTTGCCTGAGGTTTATGTGTGTGTGTGTGTGTTTGTGTTTGTCATCCATGCATGCCTGTGTGGTTGTTGCTCAGATGTTTGTTGTATTTCACTGAGGCTGTGTTTCTCTGCAGCACGGATGAAGGAGCCTTAGATCTAAGTGTCAAAGCACACACAATACTATCACCAAAAGAGAAGAAATTCTCTTTGAACATTAGCCATACAGTACAGCCTGTCACCACCCATGTGAGCTTGTGCTGCTTTTTGCTCTACACAACAAAATGTTAAGTCAAAACAAATCGGCTGTGAAGCAGGCACTCTCTAACTTTAAATCCCCCTTTAGGTACAGGTGCTCTGTGTACCGTATGCAACTGAGTAACAGTCAGATTTGCAGAGAGAAACTTGTTTGTCAGCTTTATGGCACAAGAGCCTTCTTTATATACAGAAAAGCAATGACACAATTATGCTCTTCACGGCAATGGATGAAGTGATTGAATAATCACTTTAAACACATTTAGTCTAGTGAGGAAGAAAGGAAGTGTGTGGGGGAAATGGAGTGTTAAAGCTGCAGTAGGTAACTTTTCTAAAAATATTTTTGGCCATTTGCTGAAACTTTAACTATATCCTAACAATATGAGACAGATAATCTGTGAAAAGAGCTGAGAAAGATATAAAGACGCTGTATTTGACACCCTAGGAAACGAGACTCAACAATCAGTTATCTTTCTTAACATCTGCAGGCTAACATATTGACAGTGACAATGTGAACATGCTGACATACAGGTATAATGTTCACTATCTTATTTTAGTGTGTTAGCATTGGGAACATTTGCTAATTAGAACAGTTGCTACAGCTGAGGCTGATAGAATTGTAATTAATTTTGGAGGTATTTAGTCATAACGAAAGTATTGGGCAAATTAAAGGGGACATATTATGCAAAACCAACTTTTTAATCATTTGATTATGTACATTTGGGACTCTGGAGGGCCTATCAGCAGGCAAAGTGTGAAAAAAGATGACTCAGTCATGTTTTTGTGGGCTGCCTCAGTCAAAATACAGGAGATAAATCACGCAATTTCAGATT